TTTTAGGACCTTTATGAGGTTTTTTAGGACCTGTTTGAGTTTTGTTTTAGGACTTGTATGAGGTTTTTTTTAGGACCTGAATGAGTTTTTTAGGACCTGTTTGAGTTTTGTTTTAGGACCTGTATGAGGTTTTTTTAGGACCTGTTTGAGTTTTGTTTTAGGACCTGTATGAGGTTTTTTAGGACCTGTATGAGTTTTTTAGGACCTGTTTGAGTTTTGTTTTAGGATCTGTATGAGGTTTTTTAGGACCTGTTTGAGTTTTGTTTTAGGACTTGTATGAGGTTTTTTTTAGGACCTGAATGAGTTTTTTAGGACCTGTTTGAGTTTTGTTTTAGGACCTGTATGAGGTTTTTTAGGACCTGTATGAGTTTTGTTTTAGGACCTGTTTGAGTTTTGTTTTAGGACCTGTATGAGGTTTTTTTAGGACCTGTTTGAGTTTTGTTTTAGGACCTGTATGAGTTTTTTAGGACCTGTATGAGGTTTTTTTAGGAACTGTATGCGGTTTTTTTAGGACCTGTATGAGGTTTTTTTAGGGCCTGTTTGAATTTTGTTTTAAGACCTGTAAGAGTTTTGTTTTAGGACCTGAATGAGTTTTGTTTTAGGACCTGAATGAGTTTTGTTTTAGGACCTGAATGAGTTTTGTTTTAAGACCTGTATGAGTTTTGTTTTAGGACCTGTATGAGTTTTGTTTTAGGACCTGTATGAGGTTTTTTTAGGACATGTATGAGGTTTTTTTAGGACCTGTTTGAGTTTTGTTTTAGGACCTGAATGAGTTTTGTTTTAGGACCTGTATGAGGTTTTTTTAGGACCTTAATGAGTTTTGTTTTAGGACCTGTATGAGGTTTTTTTAGGACCTGAATGAGTTTTGTTTTAGGACCTGTATGAGGTTGTTTTAGGACCTGTATGAGATTTTTTGAATGAGGTTATTTTAGGACCTGTACGAGGTTTTTTAGGACCTGTACGAGGTTTCTTAGGACCTGTACGAGGTTTCTTAGGACCTGTACGAGGTTTCTTAGGACCTATATGAGGTTTTTTTAGGACCTGTATGAGGTTTTTTAGGACCTGTACGAGGTTTGTTTTAGGACCTGTATAAGGTTTTTTAGGACCTGTACGAGGTTTTTTAGGACCTGTACGAGGTTTTTTTAGGACCTGTATGAGGTTTTTTAAGGACCTGTACGAGGTTTTTTTAGGACCTGTATGAGGTTTTTTTAGGACCTGTATGAGGTTTTTTTAGGACCTGTATGAGGTTTTTTAGGACCTGTACGAGGTTTTTTAGGACCTGTTTGTGTCTTGTTTTAGGACCTGTATGAGGTTTTTTAGGACCTGTATGAGGTTTTTTAGGACCTGTACGAGGTTTTTTAGGACCTGTATGAGGTTTTTTAGGACCTGTATGAGGTTTGTTTGTCAGGTAGCAGAGCAGCTCATCAACCCGTTTGGAGAAGATGACGATGACTTCGAGGCGAACTGGATCATCGACAGGAACCTGCAGGTCTGAAGCACCAAATAGTTCCTTAGATTTTAAATCTCAATATGTTTCTGTTGTTTTCAAGCACAACTCAAGCTTTATTTATTTAATCTGAACCTGATGTGATGTCACTTCCTGTTTACCTGTTGTCCCAGGTGTCTCTGCTGGCTGTGGATGAGATGCACATGAATCTTCCTCACATGACCAAAGACATGTACTGGAACGACAGCGACGCTCGCCCGCCCTACACTTTAGCTGCTGCAGACTACTGCATCGCCTCCTTCCTCGGCTCCACCACCGACATGGGGTAGAGTTTATATGAGCCGAAGGGTCGGACACACTTCATATGAGCCGAAGGGTCGGACACACCTTATATGAGCCGAAGAGTCGGTCACACTTTATATGAGCCGAAGGGTCGGAGTTTCTTTGAGCAGAAGGGTTGGACACACTTTATATGAGCCGAAGGGTCGGACACACTTTAAATGAGCCGAAGGGTCGGACACACTTTATATGAGCCGAAGGGTTGAACACACTTTATATGAGCCGAAGGGTCGAACACACTTTATTTGAGCCGAAGAGTCGGTCACACTTTATATGAGCCGAAGAGTCGGACACACTTTATATGAGCCGAAGGGTCGGACACACTTTATATGAGCCGAAGGGTCGAACACACTTTATATGAGCCGAAGGGTCGAACACACTTTATATGAGCCGAAGGGTCAAACACACTTTATATGAGCCGAAGAGTCGGACACACTTTATATGAGCCGAAGGGTCGGAGTTTCTATGAGCAGAAGTGTTGGACACACTTTATATGAGCCGAAGGGTCAGACACACTTTATATGAGCCGAAGGGTCGGAGTTTCTATGAGCCGAAGTGTTGGACACACTTTATATGAGCCGAAGGGTCAGACACACTTTATATGAGCCGAAGGGTCGGACACACTTTATATGAGCCGAAGGGTCGGAGTTTCTATGAGCAGAAGTGTTATACTCAATTAATATGAGCCGAAGGGTCAGAGTTTATATGAGCCGAAGTGTTATACTCACTTAATATGAGCCGAAGGGTCAGAGTTTATATGAGCCGAAGTGTTATACTCAATTAATATGAGCCGAAGGGTCAGAGTTTATATGAGCCGAAG